ACTAGTGTTGTCAATAGAGACTGGAGGAACTGTCCATGGTCCTAAAAAGAATGAGAAGCTCCATCATTGGATTCTAAGAAAATGGGAGGCAAGTTAATCTTGTTATTTCTCTCTTTCTCTCTCATAGAAACAGCTATTTCCATGAATCACTGATAGTGGCACATTCAGCTTATTCAGCTTACTTGTTTGTGGTTGGACAGTGAGAGACCTTACATGTAGTAGTTACATGATGTGCTGCATGTGGTAGTTTGATGTTGTTTTTGAGCTACCCTGCTTCTGCATGTGTGGATGGGAAGATCAATAGTGCCATGTTTTGCCTGTACACTGTGACTACTCAATAAACATCTTATCTGGTCCATGCACAATGACAAAGAACACCTGAGATTAATCTTTTTTGAGCAACAAAGACACTAACATAGGGGGTAACTAGTAATCTGGCCTGTCTGGTACCACTTCAGTTCAGCTTCTTCTCTCGTAAACAACATGGCTGATATAGTGAGGAGTCTGGAGGAGGCTGTCTTGCATGGACCATACATAAGTCCCTGAACCATAGGACCTTTTAAAACTGAGGTCGTATGGCAGACTCCAGGCCCAGTCTGTGTGAGGACAAAAGAAGAGGACAGTTTACCTGCCAGACCAGGTCAAGGCCTTATTGATAGGTGTCCATCTTCAAGAAGGAGGAGAACAGCTGCTTTGTGCCAGACTCGCTCCATCTCCCTCCAGTCTCTTATCCCACTCCGTTAATGAGGCCACGTGCCTGACTGCTGAGTGCAGCTCTTTAGCAGCGTGCAATTAATCAGAGGTTTCCTGGTGGAGACGAAACCAAGCAGACACTGGGCAGCGGGGCACAGTGATTACATACCCATGCAAATGCCTGCATGTTCAGGCTGGGCTCATTTGTCAGAGCTGCAGCAGGACGCAGGAGGAGCTGCACTTGACACTCTTAGGTGTGTCTTTCTTTTTGATGACTGTGAAATGATGTTAGGGCCTAGTCTGCATAATGCAAAGTCTATGAAACCGAAGGATACTGTAGAGTCATTGAGGCTCATATTACACTTTGTGCTGTACAGTAAATGATATTAGAAAGACAGAGGAGGAGGAAAACTAAAGATATCACTGAAGTGTCTTTGTAAGATCCAGACATCGGCATAGGCTGCATTGGTACTCATTACTGTGATAGTTATAAAAAGTAGCAGTGGTTATGTATATCATGTTTGTGCATATTACAGATCCAATATCTTATCAAGTATTTAACATTGAGAAAAAAAATAAATAATATATATATATATATATATATATATATACATGTAATTTTATTTTTTATTTTTTTTCTCTCACTTTGGTTGAATTTATTTTACTATAAAACACAGAAAAGCATCCAACATGACTATGAGATGGGTTGCCACCCCACAAAACTGACTCTTTCTTGACCTCGAAGAGGACGTCCTCCTGCTGCTTGTTTACATGAAAATGGAACCATGTAGGTGCAGAAAGTTACTGTACTGTATAAATTCCTCCTTAGGGGTTGACTGATAATTTCAGATTTAATATTACCTTAACATAATATGTAGGCCTAAAATATTTTTTTGGAAAGATTTGTATCAACTAACATCTCACCAAGGAGGCATGAATTTGAATCAATATTCACCTTGCTTTTCTGTCTCTCAATTTCTTATTCTATTCCTACTGCTCTGGTTATAAACATTTTTTATACAGGTGGTACAAGTATAAAAGTCTGCAAGTTATACCCAATTTGAGCTGAATTACTTGATAAATATCCCAGATAATTAACTTTGGGTACTGTTTTAGTATGTAGCCCTACCCATAAATAAGTGGGTGCCTGAGCTGGGTGGACAGATGCTGAAGCCCAGATGTTCTCAGTTCAAGAAGTCCTTTGTGCCAGCGGCCATTAGAGTGTTTAATGAGGATACTTCATCTGCAGCTTGTCCTGGATAAATAGGTGAGGTTGCACTGCAGTCAGCCTGGGCCCTTTTTAATGGCCTTTGTAGAGAAGGCTTTTTTCTTGTTGTGCAGTGGTCTGTGTTTTTAGAGCCAAGTGCCTTCTTTGGTAACTGCTTTCAGTTCAGATTTGTTTATCAAACAATTGTCTTTTTAATGAGACACTGCAGAAAACAGAGACAAACCCACTGTTCTGGCTTTGTGCAACAGGCATCAACATTGTACCAGGTTCTAATGAAAACTCTATTATGAGAAACGTTTAAATGGGAGCATTGCATTTATTGGGCAGAGCTTTTCTGACATGAAAGTCAGGCCAGCTCTGGATGGGGAGCATTGCTAATCTGAGGCGCGCATTGGAATTAAATGAGAGTTCATGCTCCGCTACAATAAGTGGTGTCTCTGGGCGTTTTACTTTCTATTACAGTCAAACCCCATCACTCTGATCTGAAGTTTTGATGTGAGCTGTGCCTGGGGGCTATTAGTGAAGAGAAATCCTTCTTATGGTGTGTGATGAAAGGAAAAACGAGTCCACTACAGTGAGAAGTGCACCAGGGATCGACAGCTCCATGTTAATGCGCCTCTGATATGGAACTGACACTGGGCGGACTTCTGCAGCTCTGATTAAAGCCTTGTGCGCATGAGGCAAGCATTCTTGTTAGGGGCCAAAAGTATAACTTTGCTACACACACATCGGCCAAACCCTTTGCAAAATCCTCCAGTCAAGGTAGTCCTGACCAAGCCTAACTCAGGATCTGGAGATGGGCCTCCGGGTACTGCACTGACGTCGCCCACTGCTCTTGACAGTTTACCCTAGTGATATTGAAGGATTGGACATCATTACCTTATTGCTAATTGCACTCTACTTTGTACTTACTCTATACTCCATAACTCATAACAAATAATACAACTTTGAGAGCAATGCCACAAAACCAAAGCAGGGCCATTCAAAACGAGCACAGTGTTGCCTCGGCCCTACACTAATGTTTACCTTCTCATAACTAAGAACATGGCAGAGGGCTACAGATGGTGAGCTGCCAGGCCAGAGTCATGCCAGTGACAGGGCCACACCAGGGAGCTCTAGAAGACTTTTCACCATGCCCCGGAGAGAACACAAACTATTTCCCACTTTTTTCCACCAAACCAATTATCTGCTTGTGAAATCTGGCTCTGACACCTAGATCAATGACACATAGGTACCAAACAATTTTACAATAACAAAGTCCCTAAAGTGGTTAAACACGCTACAAAAGTGCTGTATATAAATAACTATTATTGCCTTAGGGGGTTACTCCTTGCTGCATGCTTTACTTATATTTGCTGCTTGGTGACAGATGACTACAGTAAGTAGTGATGTGAATTAAACTGCCTGAAGATGTGACAAAATTGAGTGTGTGTGAGTCTGTGCTTTAAAGTAGAGTGCCTCAGTAAATGACACCAACCTGGAATGGAGATTTAACATGAGTTGGGACAAGAGGAGGGGAGTGCTCTTGTCCTAGAAATGCTCTGTTGTAGTTTAAAAATACCTTAGATGCACAGCAGGACGCTTCACCTGCAGAGGCAATCTAGACCTACATCTGCAAAGTCTAAACCTGATTAAAAGTAGGATGGAGGCCTGCCATAAAAATACAGTTACAGTATATACAAATGTATTATAAAGTTGTCTAATTGAGTCCAGAGTTTGTAGTGTTCATGTCAAAACATTTTAAAAACAGCGACTAGCTAATTAATGTCACAGTCTTGTTTTGTTCATTGCAGCAATACTGGCACAAGTTGCTATTTTAAAGTGCATGTAGTTCTTGGAGGGATGACACCCAAATGGAGATGATGGCAGTGGCAACATTATGCAGAGTATGTGCAAAGAAATCATTGTTGCATGATATTTCAAAGGTATAAAATTAATAATGTGTAATGTAATGTTGTTAGTCAGACTACTATTATGTATATATATAAAGTAGGTCTTCATTCAAATGAATAAACAAACTCTTGACTTTGTTTAAAGTAGAAAATATTTTTTGTGCTCTATATTTATCAAAACACAAAGCCAATGATGTATTAGTAGTTGATAAAGTACAAGACCTATGTCATGCTTCTATTTATCTCATACTGTTTATATTTAACCTATTGCTATGAATGAAACTAAGCTTGATGTTCAAACTGCAAATATATTGCTGTAGTGTATAAACCACCCCAGATCAGTGATGTCGGTGGAGTTAGGGTCCATGAAATGTGTGCAGCGGAGAAGCATGTTGTTTTTTGGTCTTTGTATTGTTCAATTAGGGCTGATTTCTAAACAGCAATTGGTGAGGATTAGAAACTGTAGCGTCGTCAGACTTGTACAGCACTAGCAGCACCTGTAAGTGAGTCACTGGGTGGAAGGAAGGAGATATTGACTGCATTTCTCAACTGCATTCAATCCCATAGTGCCGTAATTTAGATTTAGTAACATAAATTTAAATGCATCTGGCTACTTACAATGACTATGGGGGTTTAGGGGTTTTGATATTAAAGTGTGATCATATACAGCCTAATGAAAAATAGGATTTTGAATTATCATATTCTTATGCAATGTGGTCATCCGCATTGTGGTTCACAATAGTGTTGTCATGAACATTTTAAAGTCAGTTTTTATACCAAGGAAATATGTGATACTCAATTTCAAGTTCAATACTACAAAAAGGATTAACAACTTTCTTTTTTAGAATCAAGACAGAGTAATTGTAGTTTGTTTAATGTTACCATGTGCTCATATACTAGGTGTGAGGATTAAGTCCATTCTGTTCTAAAACTATTCAGGAAATGTGTAACTTTGTCCAATTTGTGTGAACACTAATTTAAACTGTATATGTTAAATTGCTCTAGTTGTAAGGTGTAGCCTTGATGAAATTTGGTTGAAAAAGGGTTCAATCTCTTGTCTTGACCTCATTTAGTACAGCTCACTTTAGTGTAGTGATGACACACAGTAACTGAACTATTCCCTGCTGTGATATTGGTAGTGTTAAGTTTGAGAACAACTGATGGTGGTGATATAAGTTATTGCTTACCTCTATCTGTGTCGTACAAATACACAAACTTCTCCCATTTGTAGTGGTCCAGCATGCTCAGGATGGCACCCCTCAGACTGGGTCTCATCTGGATCACAAACTGCACATCTGTGTCGATAGGGAAGCTGGGTGTGATGAAGGAGGTGTGGAGCGCCCCACAGAAGGATGTCAGGGTATTCATGGATTTTCGGTCGTAGAAGCCGAAGATGGCATAGACTCCTCGTGAGAACTGGGAGCAGACTGGAGAGAGGTTAAGAGGTGAAATGTTAGCATTTTAGTTCAAAATATATTGCACAACTCCTAGCACTTGCATGTAGTTAATTAAGTAGGCAAAGAAACTACAGGTCTTGCTTGTGTTCTGTAATGCTGTATGGTGAGATGCTACTGTATATTTTGCCACTGATGCGAGTTCAGTGGCATTCTTACATCCATTTTTAAGACCAAAGGAAATATCATGTAGAAAAGTTTGCAAAATGGGCTTTGAACTGCACTGCAAACTTCAAATGAGGCTGCAATGAGGCAACATTAATCATGTGAAAGGGGCTGTATCAATGTGAATGTGTGCCATGGTAGCTATGAGCTCCACATAGCCATGCTGCGCTGCCCACTGTCCTTCACTTCTCCTTGGTCCAAATGCAAGCGCTCCGTGTAATCAACTGGAAATAATGGGGAAATCAGTGCACTGGCCATAGCTCATAATGGACAAATAGCCTTAAATATGAGCATGCAAATGTGCAGGCGGCTGGCTCTGCTGCACTATAAAAGATTTATAACAAGCCCTATCGGTTACCATCTGCAGGGACACAGAAATGAGCTTGGGCCTATAAAGTCCCTGCTGTAGCGGATACTGGTTCTTACAAGGTGCTAACTGTTTTATTTTATTTGTTCACACTAAATGGTTTAATAAGAGCGAGCAAACTGCATGAAGGCCATGACCTGTGTCTCATAAAAACAAAAATGATCAGGGTAACACAGAGGATACACTAAATGTAAGTTTTAATCACATTCATCTTCTTATGTTTGAACATAATTTGTGTCTTTTTACTGATGTAAACCGTAAACACATGTAAACACTTCTTGGCTGCTGGTGAAGACTTGGATTTATTGTACCATTGCTTAAGCAAAAGATTGAAGATCTAAAATAAAGAAATAAAGAGGAAAGCTATCATAATTTATTTTTCTCCTGCTAATGCAACATATGTGTCCAGTAATTTAAACAATATGGCGACTTTGGAATGTGTATGTAACTATTGCAACCAGAACCTGAGCCGAAAATCCATATGTGGAAGTTGTCCATATGAAGTTTGTTACCAAGATTTTGTCTATAATTCTATAGTCTATAAATCTCAGGAATTCAGGGAATTGAGAAACAAAAAAAAAATTCTCTCTCAAATTAAAATGATGAATATGCACTGATAGAATATAAATGGAAAAAGCAGAGATGTGGACCAATATAGCTACAGTCATGTGGTTTCTAAGAGGAGCAGATCAGAGTTCAGGGACATAGTTGCTACATCTCTTCTGTTCCATCAACATTAAACGTTTTCATGTATAGATCTTTTATTCCTATTTACAGCTTTAAATATAACTTGCTTTAATGCCGCAGGTGATATAAAAAATATATATTTCTTGACTTATTTGCATTTTATCATCAAAAGCAAAAAAATTCCGTTGTAACACTCTTATTGCTAAAATATGTTTTTATATAAATAGAAGAATTCGCCACAACATCAGTGTCATTACGTTTCTTTGTTCTATGTTCAGATATTACACTCTTTACTTGTAGTCCTAACTGTAACCATAGAATGCAGGATACTATAACCATTTCCTCGTGCAATTTAGATATAGACTGTGGCTATTCTTTTATTTCCGATCTCAAACATTTGTTTATTTCTATGTGTTACACAGGGATAGGCTAAATAAGGTCTGATAATACAATTCCTTGCTTGATAGATAGTATAATTTCAAGACAGTTGCATTATACATAGGTTGTTGGCTCATTTTTAGTTCAGTCAGGTATGTCTTTCAAGATGCATAGATAATATAAAATGTATGAAATTGATAAAGTACTGCTGTAGTGACCACAGTACAGTATGTCTGTCTCCTCCCAAGTTTGCCACTCACGGTGCTCATTACTGCCTTCTCATCCTTCCTGTACCCATGATTCCTAAAGCGGAGGGAGGTGGTTGTAGACTCATCTCCCAGACATTTTCTTTCAGCTTTCTCCTGTTGTGAGTGGAGAATATTTCACGCCTAGATCATAAAAGTTGCTGATGTCGGGATGAACCTGCCGCGCTTAGTGTTTTACAGTTGGATACTGCTGCCACTGCTGCATAGCACCAGGTTTCACAAAATATATTCTGAAAGTTCTACTGAAAGTATAAAGCAGTGCCCTTGTGTGAAAAGGGATGCATAAATTGTAAGTGTATAGCCCCAAAAGAGGAGAGGATCTTTTGGCAGAATAATTTGACTTTGTGGTGGTAACAAATATCCTGCCGATGGGAGATGGGAGTTATTTTTTGCAGCTGTCACAAAGCAGTGCCTCTAGTGATGCTAGAGGAGAAAAGAGGCGTCTGTTCCCCTCTGGGACAGGTATAAGAGCATGTTGGGCTGGTCTCATGAGAGTACACCTGGCATATACCTGTCCCACACTGTCCTGTCTCCGGGCAGGTCACACATCAGGACAGACATAGGCAAAGGAAACAGAGCATTCACCTTCTTATGTAAACTGATAAATTTTTCAAAAAAAAATAATCCAATGGTTTTCAGTTTTTGTTTTGATTGGTTTGGTCAATGGGCATGTAAGAGAAAAAAGTAGGTACAAACAATAGAACTTTTTGAGCACACAGAATCCATTTAGTGTTATATAACATTTAGTGTTAAAACTGCTGAATGGGAAAAGTGTGGCAACTGTGTCATGCCAACAAAATATATACTCTCATACTTTATTTTGTTTTGTATTTGTCTTTCAAATATAAATCAAGCTTACTAATCTTGGGCTATTTCAATGGTTCTCAAACTATGGTACTGGTCTCCTCTGCAGTTCAAATATTTGCTTTAAACACATTTCTGTCCTCCTTTGGGACTGTCTTTGTTTATAACTGCTATGACAACTGTGGTCCAATTTTAGACCTAATTTACATTCTAATCTGGTGGGAGGCCAAATATGCCTAAAACCAACTACTCCTATTTGACTTGGTTTATTTTTTAAGTTATGACACTTAATATCTGACTGTTAAAGTGTTTACATAATTTAAGGCAAAGCTAAATTTACACTTTATATTTCAACATCCCCGAGTGGTTATTTAAGAGAAAATGTTCAGCTGAGACTCTTCCATCAGATGTCTCTGTCAGTTGTATCTGCTGTTGACTCTGTACTGTCCTTATTAGAGGACGTCTACACTTGTCATTGGTGACACTCCATTATGGCAGATGTTCTCAGTCTCAGCAGCTGAAACTGAATATGTTTACCAGCAGAAATCTGCAGCTCTCCACAAGACAGCTGCTGAATCACAACACCAGAACTAGAAATGACGTTGTGCCAGTAAACATATAAAAATACAGTCATGCACCGTATGTTAATGTAGGGCGATTGCAACTGTGCTGTACTCCACTGTCTCCACTGCTTGTTAATGCAATCCCTGCAACACAAGCACACATCTCTTTTCAACAATAATGTTGGTGCACTTTGGAACTTTTTCTGGTGGGGGGTTTGCCAACTGTCTCTATGGATATTGCTTTGCCTGAAATATTGCACGGTACGGCCTCACAGTTATATCTCCACCAGGCCATGTTACAGGTCATATCTATGAAGAGGTGACAAATAACATCTTCTTGGAAACAAGATGGTGGCATACCTTTTCAAAATGACAAAGTGACAAAGTCCTTTAACATTAGTATACAACAGTGCAATGCACCACCAAGAGAAGCAAATAGCCCATGTCTTAATTACAGTAGCAAAGACTCTTCGCTTACTCCTGCCAAGACCATCAGTATTGACAGACTGTACTAATGGACACAGAAATCATTGCGTCCAACTTAAAAAGTAATTAATTAGGTGCTGCAATGCACTTAATTTGTCTTAAGAACTAAAAAAGTTACTGGAAGCAAGTCTCAAAAATAAATGTAATGAAGTTGTCCTGATGGCCATATGGGACACCATTTCAGAGTGAGAGAGGGTACGCCAAGAAATCTTGGAAAAGTGCTGACTGAATGACAGATACTATAGGCACATTCTCCCCACAGAAAAAAACATCGGGCTGGTGCACAGGGTTTGGCAATTATCCCACCTAAAATTTTACCAAGAGATTTATATATTTTGTTTTTGGAGAATGAGAGAGAAAAGGTGACTGGATAGGGCTGGAAGTGGTGATGATCTCATTGAGAGGAATGTGGATTAGCTGTGCATCAGAAAGACATCTTATATTATCTTATGGAGGACACAGAGGAGGAACACTTTTGTCATGAGGGCTATTACTCACCTCAAACTGCCCTGACACACGATCTGTTGACCCTAGATGAATGTTAATCTCTTAATCTTATCTTTCTAGTTATCTACTTATCTTATATTACTAAAAATGAAGTTGGAGAAGCACATGTGGGTGAGGTATTGAATATTTCAGAGAAGGATGCATAGTAAGAGTAGACTTATAGCTGCTGTGAGGAAAGAGATGATACAAAAATTATATATTTTTTTCTTTGTACATCAACTCAAGTCAATTGCTCAAAAAAGCAGTAATATGCAACTGATGTATGTGCATAAACATAACATGTAAAGATGTTGTGTGTTTGAAGATAAACAAGAACAGAATCCTAATAATGAAGAAGGGTGGTGGGTGGAACCCATGTTTGCATAATATGAAGTGCGTGATCTGCTAGTAGCATAATTATTGACAACAGAAAGTAAACAAGAAATGTAACCAACACAGGAAACTGGGAAACACTCTAAAATCAAGTATAACATTCAACTCTATTGATCTATCTTAAATTCTTTAGTATGTATTTGCTGGGCCTTTTAAACTACTTCTGACTTCTCATCATTAGTATTCTTGTAGTGTATGTGTAAATTACTGTATTTCTTAAAATATATGTTTTGGAGATGTGCTAAAAATGGAGCATATAGTTTCCTAATAATATCGGAACCCCCATGTTTTGCACTCAATGGGTGCAACTCACAAAAAATGTAGGAGACAGCCACAAGGTTATACTTTGCCAAACAATTTTCTATATTTTGTTTATAG